GCCATGGAGTGATTGCTCTGTATTTGCCATCACACGGACCGAACCCCAAATTTTAATAACATAAGCCCCAGGCTCACCGCTGAGCTACCGAGGAACTGTTAATTTGAAATGTCAAGGTAAACCAAAATATAGATTAATACCCACTTGTTTGTAATAGTACACTGTTAATAATTTAAATAATATCAAAACACCCTCCAGTATTTCAAAGTACGGTAACTTGTCTTTAACCATTCTTTTCCCTTCTTTATTTTATTTTTTAAAAACTTTGGACCGCTAGCAATAGATAAATCAACGTGGCGCTCCTATTAGGATTAAAATGAAAAATTGTATGGTCACAAATCTTCAAAAAAAAAACATGTATATAATTGTATTCAAGTAACGAAAGGTTCATAACTCGGGCATGTAATTTCAAATTTAACTTTGTCGGTGCTTATGTTATTCTTTATTATTATTATCAATTCAGTTCAATTAACTTTAATTTATTTTTTTTAAATCTCTTGTGTTACTTACTACACGTGATAGTTATGCAAATTTCCCGTTGTTGATCAGTAAGAAATAATTTTTACGAAATTACAGTTCGACGTTCGTTGTTGTTGTAAAATTGAGAATATATTACTGATTATCCATACCTTTATTTGAAAGCACGTGAACGACAAAAACCAACATAAAATAAGTAACATATCATAAAAATAAATCTACTTTTTGTTTCCCATAATTATCAACTTTTGTTCGGTAATCAAACAGTGATTTGGAATAATTCTATTTTTTTGTGAATGATACAAAGTAGCTCATATTTCAACTTTTCTTTGTGCTTAAATACAAACAAACAAAAATCAACTTTTCCGTTTTGTTGCCTTTGTTATTTTAAAAAGAGAAAATAATAGCAAAGGTAATGTCAATGATTTATTTGCGCAAATCCACCATTTTTGCCCCCCAGTGGCACAACGGCATATCTGCAGACTTACAACGCTAGAATTCGGGTTTCGATACCCGTGGTGGGCAAAGCGCAGATAGCCCATTGTGTAGCTTTGTGCTTAATTACTAAAAAACAAACAAAACTACCATTTTTATTCTTTGGATGGACAGTGTTTAAGCCAAATAGTAAATGAACGGGGGGGGGGGATAAACTTTAAAGGCGCTAACAAAAACAAAGTCAATTTGTATTGAAGTTTGCTTGCTGTGAATAATCATACAAGTGAAAAAAACCAAACACGCCTTGTAAAATTGGCATGATATTCCCATCGTAACACTCGCTCGAAGCTTTATTAGTTCACACGGCATACATGCGAGTCACTAGACCGATCAACACTTAAGCTATTTCGAACTTGGGAAACAGATATATGACTTTTAGCGTTTTGTATTGTTTACAATATGAAAGGCTGGTTGCTATGGAAATACGAAAATGTTAAAGTGTTGAAATTAGGACAACTACAATTTTGTTTTTGTTTATAATCACCTATATTATAACCTGGACAATGAGGGGGCAGTACATAAACACCAATATCTTCCGTAAATAATACCCTCATATAAACGGCTCAAAAGGTTGTTCAAAGTGGTGTGTCAGAGTAGTATGACGAACGTCACGATTTGATCTGCTAAATAATACCATTGGATCACTTTTTTTACTACAAGAGAAACATGCATATAATTATAAATGACGTGTATCAGCTAAACTAGGACTCGTATAATGTTAACGATCTTATTAAGTGTTTAATTTTTTCATATGCATTATAGATAATATACCGAAACAGAGATCACCCAAACCGTAGGTAAAGGTGCGAACAATACTTAGTTATTAACTCACTTCTGTCACAGCAAACAGTACCTATGAAAATGTTTCCATCAGTGGAAGGATGTGTAATTTATACATTCTCCAATGACACACACGTTTACACGCAATTGATACTTCTTTGAGTTCGTGTCTTTGTTAATAGAATAAGAGGTCATCTCATTTCTTAAACGATAAAATATGCTTATTTAATTTCTACGTAACTTCAAAAGGGGTGGAATCTTATCACTGTGCGTGAGAAGAGGGTTCGGGCTAGCTACGCGTCAGGAATAGAGAAAGCAGTGTCTAAGCCAGAGATGTCTTTTTGTGTTATTAAAGGATACTCGTAAAGACTAAAGATGCTAGATACTTTTTACAGTACTAACCAGATGCACATATTAAAAGATATTCTTCTATCAAATCTGTTGCAAGATGCTTTTTTTTTCTCCTATTCGACACCACACAGTACATATTCACTACATTGGTCATATAATTTCTGTAATCCTAAACCTTACCTTCCATATATATATATATATATATGGAAATCACCCAATGATTGTTTTTTAATCAACAATTATAGAATATAGTTCTATTTGTAAACGCAATGAGACGAAGAAAAAAATCGTGATCAACGCCTCCTATAATCATTTATGTCCGGCCTTAAAACAGATACTATATAAAATTGTTAATGAACAACATTTAATAGTAATTTCTCATTACGCTACATAAATACGAGTAATTTTTCTAACTTTTCAAGCATAAGGTGAATAATACGAGTAATTCTTAACTCTTCAGGCATAAAGTGAGTAATACGAGTAATACTCTAGCTTTTTAAAGATAAAGGAATAATAGAAGTAATTATTCTAACTTTTCAAGCATAAAATGAGCAATACGAGTAATTCTTAAGCCTTTTAAACATAGTAGTAATACGAGTAATTCTAACTTTTCAAGCATAAAATGAGTAATACGAGTAATTTTTAAGCCTTTTAAACGTAAAGGAGTAATACGCGTAATTCTTCTTACTTTTATGGGTAAAGTGAAAAATACGAATAATTCTTAATCTTTTTAAACATAAAGGAGTAATACAGTTATTTTTAAACAAGTAAGATAAACAAATGTTTTTTTTTCAAACATCTTAGACATGACGAAAAGTATTCTAAAGTTGTTCATACACTTTCAGAATAGACAGCTATATGCCTCTTTTTTTACAAAACTTTTAAACATAGAATTGGAAAGTTGACTTTTTTAAATCTATATTGCAAGGCCTACCACTAAGAATCGTCAAATGAAACCTTTTAAATAAAATGGAGAGTTCTAAAAATCAACTTTCATGGGTTAGAAACACAAGTTTTATGGTAAATATATAACCCTGAAAGTATTTGAAAATAAAGCATTTTGCTTAATACACATTCCTATATAAACACGCATCATATAGCTCCGTATATATTTCTTATTCAAGAAAACTATATCATTATAATGGTATATTAATGAGAAATGTGTCGCTTCAAAAGTTTCACTTTTCCCAAGTCTATATAATAGAAAATATATATTATAATAAGACAGATTTTTTAAGCGCAAAAATGCACAATGGGCTGTCTGCATTGTGTCCACTGCAACGATTGAACCCCAAATTTTAGCGTTATAAGACCCCAATCTTACACTGAGACACTTGGTATAAAAAAATTGAGGGCGTATAATAAAATAATTGGTACTTTGGAAAGAAACATTGTAAATATCAGTACTACCAAGAACACTGGTTAAAATCCACGAAACACTAAAAAACGAGATAAAATGTTAATTTGAAATTATTGAAATCAGAAACGCAAGACTGCTAATTAAAACATCAGAATAAATATCACATCAAATATTTGAAGTAAAATACATCTTTCAAGATACTTCAACAAAATTGATGTACTTTACAGTTTTTGATGTCTGGGATTTCCAAATAAAATATCAAAAAAGGAGGTTTTTGTATATCACCTCTATAGAATTAATAGCATACGTAACAGATTCCAATTCTTAGTTTTTGTACTCACCTTTCTTAAGAAAGTCGGTCTAGAAAGAACCTATATGGCAAAAAAATCACTCAGCGATTTTAACGGACTGCTCATCCAGTGTCTCTGTGTTGCGTCTGGCTAACCAGCGTCACCATTTACTCCAGAAACAAGATACCAAAATCTTTAAAACCTGTCTGCAGCTTAGGGTGCCCTCTTCCAAACACCAACCAATCATTATCTGGATATTATCAACGTCATCATGCTGTATGACGTCTACTTGTCAGCTGACGATATTTTCACCTACTTTCCAAACACGCTCATTAATTGTATCTGTTTGTCTTCCAAGTGATTTTAGCTTAAAAATGGCAGAACTGACCAGTAGGCGATATAAACAACATCACTAATGTTCTGACCGATATGAGTGTCCGTTATATGTTAGTGTGTGTAAGAACGCGCAGACCCCGTGCACAAAGAAAAAGTATATTATTCTTTTTGGCATAACAACTGCAAGAATCAATCAACTCTTGTTCAAAGACAAAAAGGATTTGCTTTTCCTGTTGTGTGATTATTTAAAAACTCTGCCTTAACAAGTATATTAACATTTATGCAACACACGTGATGTGTGTGTTTTCAGTTACTGAACTTAAATTTATCTCACTAAAATATTACAGTTCGAAAGACTTTACTCAATAGGTTTAATATCATCACTGGTGTTCATATTTCTTAACAAATATACTAACGCATAAAACAAAACTTGTGAAAGCTATCAGTAAGTGGGGTATTTTACGAGTTGCTTTAGATTACACATCACAACTGTTGACTAAACTCAAGGAATCATTATGATTGTCGAGATAACTCCTTCAGCGTGTTTTATTATAATCCAGAGAGCCGGTTATTTTAACCCAAGATTTTGAAATATGCCAAAATTAATTCAGTCCTAGGTTTCGAAGTTTGCGCAGACTCTTTAAAGTTGATAGATTTACGTCTTCATTTTACGTCCGTCGGAATGGCATTCTTTAAGAAGTTCAATTGTTGGCAAACTATATGTACTGTGCTTAATAGTAATTATATATATATATATATATTAAACACGTACAGATGTATGGTATAAATATAATAATACATTTAAATTCAGCAAGAAATTCATCTGATGAATTAAAAAGCCATAGAAACTGATTACCTACTTGAAAAAAAACAACAGCACAAAAAACATATACACTATAAGCTATATTTACCATTTATGGCCTCTTCGTCTGGAACCTTTCGATGACTAACTACTGAAAAACGAGAAACTTCATCCAGGCAGTCACCTAATAGGTGTGCCTCGTGAACTGACCACAAACTCGCAGTGCTGGATATCACTCTGGTGAGAAAACGCCCTGTATGAAAGGACAGAATGTCTGAAAAAAATTAGCGATTCGTGGGAGGTATCGGAGAATTCAGGTTTATTCTAGTCTCCCCTATATATGAGTTTGCATGTATGAAGTCACCTGCTTCACCTGGCCTCCAGGGCTAACCTTTAACCTCAACGCGGATCAGTGGTTAAGTTGCCGCACAATTTGTATATACACTTGCTTGCGCTCGTGCTCTCTCTTCTTTCGTCCTGAGTGTTCTGATTGCTGGCCTGCTATACCTGCCCATTTGTAGGGCTGGGATGAGCTAGTCTGATGCCATAGGGCGGATCAGAAAAAGCGACCCACGCCATCATTACTTTCATGTTCTTCCTCACACCCGCCAAATCTCTTGAATCCCCTGCTTAGCCCTCTATTTTTTAAGACTGTGACCTCTGAAACAAGATCATGAAATGAAAGAGAGCGTTTATATTTTCCCTCTAATATTAATTATATTGCCTCTACGTGCAAGTATACTATATGCCTTTAAATTATATGATAACTGGTTGGCATTGTTAGTTTTCTTAAAGCGCAATTTACCATAAGGCCAATTATAACAAATACCAATAGGTGGCCTCTTGGATATATTACCCGACAACTAGCCGAAAATATTCCGTAAATCAAAAAAATGTCAGGTAATATTTTAAGAGACCACCTAGTGACACAAAGTGGCAAATATAGTGTTTTTACCTTCAAAAATAACATTTTGTACTTGCAATAATTCAATTTGTATATATTTGTCATAAGTGAATGTGTGGTCACAGGAGTTATGCCTAAACACGTTCTGACCCAGAACTAAGTCCATATGACAGTTCTCTTATATAAAACGATGGTCTTTACACTTTTTTTTCTATTTTAGAGATAAAACCACCTTTGTTTTCTTAACACTAAGAGCTAGAAATTAGGTTTAAATCAGTCTGAAGTTTATAAACGTAACAGTAACTGCCCATATAAAAAAAGTATTGTGTATTTTACGTTTTGTTTATTGTTTTAGTGCAAACTTATACTGTGGTATATCCACTGCGAGGAATCGAACCCCAACATATAGCGTTATAAGTTCGAAGATTTACCGTAAACAGACAGTTCATAACAGACGTATACACCTGTTTAAGTTGTATTTATAGGAAATTATGTGAGATTTGATTCATCTCGTGAGTGTTTCTTGTAACTAATACTAAACTTTAAAACCGGTAAGTCGAACAACTCTTCTTCAGATCATTATTTGTGGTATGAACATTTTATTAATTCACTTTTTTTAAACTAATAGAAAACTCTTCTGCTTAACAAACTATACAAGTTGCGCATGTAGACGAAACTATGGTTCACATGAAATACATCTCATCTTTGGGTTATTTTTATCTTCTGCAAGAAACGAATAAAATAAAAACACGTCAAAATTTACATTTTTTACACTGTTTCTAAAGATTACACCCTATATGAATATACAGAAGTTTAATAAAAGAGGTAATTCAGTGCGTGAATGTGACATTCCCAAACTCTCTGCTTTAAAAATCACATGGTGTACGACCTTCGAACTTAAGTGTGTGATTAACTTTCAACACCAAGCACAAGTCCATCTAGTGAATAGGTCATACACTTATTGTAATATGGGTGGTTATAATTAATACTTGATATAAGCTGTCTGTCAACAGTTGGAACTTGTAATACGTTTACAAAAAGTTTGTTCGTTTGTTATTAAGCACAAAACTACACAATGGGTTGTCTGTGATGTGCTCACCACGAGTATCGAAACCCAGCTTTAAGGGTTATAAGAGTTTCGCTAACAGCTTAAACGAATCACGACATTTGAGTACCTCTGTAGCTTTAACAAACACAAACAGCCGACTCTTCTACTGCCCTATTCATTAGCAACCCGGTGGTGGTTTATATACATACATGCTAATTCCACACCGGCCTGGTGGTTAGGACAACTCAACTCGCAATTTGCGGGTTCGAATCCCGTCACCAAACATATTGGCCCTTTCAACAGTGGGAGCGTTATAATGTGACAGTTAACCTCACTGTCCGTTGGTAAAAAGTAGCCCAAAAGTTGGCGGTGGGTAGTGTTGACTAGCTGCCTTCACTCTAGTCTATCACTTCTAAATTAGGGACAGCTAACGCAGATAGCCCTCAAGTAGCTGTACGCGAAATTCAACAAACAAAATTTCATACATCATACATTTCTGTAACAGGTGTATAATTCTTTCAATTAAAATTATTAAAGTGTCATATTTATATAAAAAACAACAACAAAGAAAGCTGCTTATGGTCTCTAACTTTTTCTTAAGTCTTGTCGAAATCATTTTGTGTTACTGCCAGTTTTAATACCAAACCTGTTTTTGTTTTCTCTTTGATGTTGGACCATTTCCTAAACATTAACATGTATCTGATATACGTGAGTTTCAATTTAAGGATATTAAAAGGCGATTATTTTCTTTACGAATTATTAACCCAACTTTAATATGCTCCAAAATAATATCGATTTACTAATTATTAACCCAACTTTAATATGCTCCAAGATAATATCGATTTACTAATTATTAACCCAACTTTAATATGCTCCAAGATAATATCGATTTTGCTCAACAAACGACAAGAATAATGA